AAATTTTATTTATTTATTTATTATTATTATTATTTTTTAAGTTTAAATGCTTTGTTCTTTCAGATTATTGCCATCTTCTTGAAGTTTTGGATTCTTCATAAATATTGTTTTTAATGTGAGGTATACTGCATTCTCACATCATTTTCAACTTTGCAGAGAGCCCAAGATCTAGCTAATGTTACTTCTTACAGAGAGTGGGTGTTACTTGGTTATCTTGTTTGTCCTGATGAGCTACTTCGTGTCACTAGCATAGATATTGCTCTGGTACCCCTAAAACCTTTCATGATTATTTCTTGTCTTGTTGTGCAATAAGAAGTTTTCTTTCAGAATGGGTATGCAAATGGGAGGAAGGGGAGCGAATTTTAAATAGATGATATTGGCAGATACTGAGTATAACTTCTCATTTAATGGCCTATTCAGTGAGATAATTTAAACTAAATATATTGCTATGTAGCTTGTATACATGCAAAAGCTCAGTTTCTTATCACATCTGTGATGTATTCGTTCTAATGGTCAAAAGACAAATAATTAAGCAGAACTTCAATGACCTGATGATAAATTTCTTTTTCATGGAAATTGGGGTAGCTGTCTAGAGGTTGAGTGGGTACTTCTTGTGGTTGTTGTAGTAATGTTTTCCAGACACAAATGAATAATGAAGTTATTTCCATGACAGGCTGAGGTTAGATCTTTGAAATCCTGGCAGCTGTGCTCTTTACTTTAAACAACTTGTATCCAATTTTTTTATCTACTAGAAAGTTCTTTCAATTAATTTTCTAATATAGTTTTTCTCATGCTTACTTTTTCTTTTGTTTGTTTTTCTTTAATGGATTTCAGGTGGTACTAAAGGAAAATTTAGTTCTTTCATTATACAGGGATGAGGTGAGTTACACTGTCACTTGGAACTGTATTTCTCGTTTACAGGAACTGATTCTTAGGGTAATTTGAGAGTGCAGTATATACTGTTGCATGAGGATTACCAGTTATATGTTTTACCACGGATAATAGAGTCAAAAAAGATGGCTAAATCTGGACGAACCAAGCAAAGGGAAGCAGACTTGGAATATAATGTAGCAAAGCAGGTTGAGAAAATGATAAGGTATGGCTGATGATTCAAAAGCAATGAGTCAATTTCATTTTATTACAAATTTAAAAGCCAAAGCTCTCTTCTATGTTCATGAATAAATATCCTCATACTTGGTGCAAGTAATTTATAATTGTTAGATTTGCCTAGGTTCTATTTAGCTTCTGCTTTAGATGCTCTTTTATTTTCATGGACTGTCAGCTTTAACCTAATGTGGTAACTCAATTGATGATTTCATACCAAAAGAAAAAAAAAATTGATGGTTTCAGTGAAGTGCATGAACAAGCATTGCTATCATGTGAAGCTATACACCGGGAGAGAAGAATATTATTAAAGCAAGAAATTGGAAGAATGGTGCTCTTTTTCACTGATCAACCTAGCTTACTGGCTCCTAACATTCAGGTAAGTTTTTCATGGACTCTTTTAAGGATCCTGTCCAATGTGCTTCTCTATTTTCTTGTACTCAAATACCAAGTTTTCCTTTCAAATAGGTTTTGGGGCCTTCAAGAATAATGTTTTTTTACTACTTTAGTTTGTTTTCTTATAGTTTATCCAGATTATTGTTGAAGTAATTCAAATTATCTATTTTTCTACTTGGGGAGTCTTGAGTTATCCTAGTTACTTAAGTTTTTCAATCATTTGTATGATATCATCTAAATAATGAAAATTAAGCTCAAATACATAACACTCTTAACCTTTTATTTGTCTAATTGGTTGCTGCTTCCTACAGATGGTTTTTTCTGCATTGGCCTTTGCTCAATATGAGGTCATTTGGTATTTCCAGCATGTAGGAATTGCATCATCAAAATCAAAAGCTGCTCGGGTTGTTCCAGTTGACATGGTAAATTGTTTTCCTTATATAATTAAATCTGTTACCTCTTTGGTTGTTTTCTTGATAAAGTAAGAAGCTAGTAAATTGATTAACTTGGACTGGAATGATTTTCTTCAGGATCCAAATGATCCAACTATTGGGTTCTTATTGGATGGAATGGACCATTTATGCCGTCTAGTGCGCAAATATATTGCAGGTTAGTATCAGTTTGGTGTAAACCTACCTTTTTCGTTATGATGACAATATGAAATCTACTTTCTCTATATAGAAGATAAGTAGTAGTATAGACTATAGTTTATAAATGGATATGTGAAGTGTGAATGCCTAACTTTCAAAAAATCTGGCCAGTGAATAAGATAAAATAGTTAAAATTTTGCATGTGACAGAAACACAAGAAGATAAAACATCTTTCCAGGAAACAGACTATATACCACCATCATAAATCATCAACCAAGGAGGAAAAAGTGATGAGTGTTTTTTTTTTTTTTTTCAAACCTGAGCTTAATAAACAAAAACCAAGCTGTTCCTAGCTTCCTTTTACCAAGGTTAGTATTTCTAATACAGTCATGCCAAACTAGATCTGATGGTATGAACTATATTCTAAAGATTTTACTCTTAAATGCAGCAATCCGGGCTTATGCATTATCATATCTCTCCTCCTGTGCTGGTAGAATTCGTTTTCTGCTGGGGACTCCAGGAATGGTTGCTCTTGACCCTGATGCAACTTTGAAAATACTATTTCAGCAGATTGTTCAACATCTTGACAATATACCAAAACCACAAGGAGAAAACATTTCTGCCATCACATGTGATCTATCCGTAAGGAATCTCTGAAAACTATCTTTCTCTTATCCATTTTCATTTAATAGACCCCTTAAGGTCTGTAAAATGCAAATTGATCTGAATTCTCATGTTTTGGGGGGTTTGAAACGTCACATGCATTTAATTATGATGTTAATGTTGGTCGCCTTCATTGCATAGGCATATCTTCTTGGTTAATAACAGATATGAACCCTCAAGGAAAAATTGATGATATGATAATACAATTAAATATCTTGGAAATTAAATTATTTTTCCCTTTTAACATGCCTGTCATGTCTGCATGCTAGCATGAGAGTTTACATGAATGCTACATATTCATTTCTCTTTTTTCAATCACTAAGCACTCTCTGGAATATTTAAGTCAAAAAAGCCTCACAAACAATGAAAATGTTGTTTCATGAAATTTCAATTGGTCTCTCTAATGCCTGTCTTTCAAGTATCTCTTCATGTTCATTTCTTAAAATAGATAATTGTGCAAGTGTATTTTGACTTATGCCTCTCTTTCAAAGTTGTTCTACATGTAGTCTTAGTTGCTGATGATATCTGTTCATTTAATCAGGACTTTCGTAAAGACTGGTTGTCAATATTAATGATTGTTACATCCGCTCGATCTTCCATAAACATAAGACATTTGGAGAAAGCAACTGTCTCCACTGGAAAGGAAGGATTACTATCTGAAGGAAATGCTGCATACAATTGGTCCAGGTTTCCTCTAAATTTTAATTAGTCATCACAACTGAGACTATAACCCCTTAATTTCCCTAACTTGTTGCAAATCAAAATCAATTTAAATAGATTCAATCCTTAACCAACAAAAATAAATTTATTTTTATACGAAATTATGGTAATTTTAAGGGTGCCATTTAGCGATTAAAAGGGGATAGTTCAAATTGAAGGTGGTCATTGCCAGATATTGCTAATTTCTGAACTACAAAGCCCTTGCTGATTCTAGCGGCTCCTTATCTCCAACTTTTAGCTCTTTTAATGAACAAAATTATGCGGCATTCTCATGTAAAGTTTAAAGTCATAAAATAATAATTTGAAATGGTATACTCCATCTTGTTAGTCATTGTTAGGAAAAGCTTTTTCCACACATTGAACATCATAGCAAAGCTAGAGCTTAAAATGTTTTACTATTGTCTCTATGGATGAAACAATGAGTATGGAGTTAGGGACGTAGGGCTTACAACAGCCCATTAGTCCAGTGTTTTCATAATTCCTTTCTTAACTAGTCTAATGTCCATGTTTTAGGTTAATGTGGGTATCCTTTCTAGTCCTCACTATTTGTTAATAAACATTATTCAAGTATTTCAAAACCATGTAAAAGTCATTACTTGGTAAACAGAGTAAGACACTGTTGTAAACAGATTAAAATACTGCTGCTTATGTGAAAGTGGTAAACTATATGGAACTATTTCAACGCAGATGTGTTGATGAACTGGAAATTCAATTGTCAAAGCATGGAAGTCTGAGAAAGCTTTATTTCCACCACCAGCACCTGACAGCAGTATGTTCTTGTTAATATTTACTACATTGCTAGGCTCTATTTGACTAATGACATTTGCTTGTTCAATTTGATACCCTTATTCTCTCTGTTGAAGCATGCTACATTATAATTGTAACTTGAGTTTACCTGTTATAATAGGTCTTTAGGAACACTATGTTTGGACCAGAGGGACGTCCACAGCACTGCTGTGCTTGGCTTGGTGTTGCCAGTAGTTTTCAAGAGTGTGCTTCACCAATTGTTCCAGAAGAGGTACTGAATGAATTAAAGTAGCTGTACAAACAGTCCCCGTCCTTCCTGCAGTTTTCCTGTTCTTTCGTTCACCATCAGATTTCTGTCATACAAAATCTATATATTGATATAGCTACATCCTCATAATCAGGTGACAAAAATTGGGCGAGATGCTGTCTTATATGTTGAATCTCTCATTGAATCCATCATGGGGGGATTGGAAGGATTAATTAATATTCTTGATTCTGAAGGAGGATTTGGTGCTTTGGAGATGCAGGTCGGTGCTTAATTCATAGTTAAGTGTAAATGTTTGAGTACAATTTATAGTGCATGAAACTAATTCACAGTGAAATCTCAGCTTCTTCCAGAGCAGGCAGCTTTTTGCTTGAACAATTCATCAAGAGTTTCAATGCCTTCTGTAAAATCCCCAAAGGGAGCAATTTCTTTTCCTTTACCTGGCCATGAGAGCTATCCTGAAAATAATAACTCCATTAAAATGTATGGCACTTCAATTCATGTCAGAATGTTGTTCTCCTTTACTCAGAGCACCTGAATTTGATGCCATTAACATTATTTTGCCAACCTTGATCAAGAGTTTCAATCGCAGGTTGGAAGCTGCAATGCAGAGGCTGACAAACCTTTGTTCGGTTTTGAATGATATGGAGCCCATCTGTGTTCTAAACCATGTGTTTGTTCTGAGGGAGGTAACTATAGATATTTTCTCTATGGCACTTCGTATAAACAGAAATTGGTCTGATTGTCCCTTTTGTGGTTGGCTTTTCTTATTATCTTTCTTTTCCCTTTCTTTTTTTAGTATTCTATATCATTGTCTATTGTGTCTGTCTCTTCATGGTTATGCTGTGGTTCCTTACTGTTAGTATTTGCATTTCTCTTTTGACCAACTGTTTTTCCCTTCCTGATTAGAGTTTGTTTGATGGTCACTCAGTTGGAATGAACTTCTGATGATTGATTGACCATCTATACATATCTTTAGTTTCCTTACTGTTATGTTTGATATTTTTGTAAAATCAGCATAGTCAAATAAATTCAGTCATTATCTCTCTATTTTATTCGGTCACTCATTTATTTTAGAAACATTAAATCCAGTTTTCAAAATTTAAGAGTTTTCAGTCTAAAGTAATGTATTCTATCTGCCAACATGCTAGACATTCTCAAACGGTGGTAATGTATGAGGAGTCTGTATGTCGATCTCAGTAGTCAGTACAAAATTTCTTCTCATAATAAATTTGTATTCATCAGCTGAAAGGTAGATTATCTTGCTTATTATTCTTGCATTAATAGTTTCATCTATGGTATAAACTTGCAAGCAAAACCATTATATATTCTCCTTATTTTGTTATAATATTATCATATGTGCAGTATATGAGAGATTGTATCCTTGGGAACTTTAGAAGAAGATTGCTTACAGTACTGAAAACTGATAATGATCTTCAGCGGCCCTCTGTCCTAGAATGTCTTATCCGCAGACATATGAGCATAGTCCATCTAGCAGAGCAGCACATTAGCATGGATCTGACCCAGGGAATTCGAGAAGTTCTACTCTCAGAGACCTTTTCTGGACCAGTTTCATCTTTGCATTTGTTTGACAAACCAACTGAGCAGCATACTGGATCAGCAACAGAAGTTGTTTGCAACTGGTACATAGAAAATATTATCAAGGATATATCGGGTGCAGGTATACTGTTTACACCCGTGCACCAATGCTTCAAAAGCACAAGGCCTGTTGGTGGATATTTTGCTGAGTCAGTCACTGATCTTCATGAGTTGCAAGCTTTTGTTCGTATATTTGGTGGGTATGGAGTTGATAGGCTGGACAGATTGATGAAAGAACACACTGCTGCACTCTTGAATTGCATTGACACATCATTGAGATCAAACCGTGAGGTGTTGGAGGCAGTTGCTGGAAGCATGCATTCCGGTGACAGAATTGAAAGAGAAGCCTGTTTGAAGCAGGCTGTTGATTTGGAGACCATGATTGGCTTTTGCATTGAGGCAGGGCAGGCATTGGCTTTTGATCAGCTACTAGCTGAAGCTTCTAGATCTGTGCTTGAAGAGGGTGCACCCTTGATATGTTCATTACTTGCTGGGTTGGTTAAGCATATACCTGAGGAAGTGCCCGAAAAGAAGGAAATTAGAAGGATGAGGAAGGTGGCAAATAGTGTAGGCTTGGCTGGTGATCATGATTCAGAATGGGTGAGATCAATTTTGGAAGAGGTTGGTGGTGCAAATGATGGATCATGGAGCTTGCTATCTTATATGTTTGCCACCTTCATGACATCTAACATCTGGAACACTACTGGTTTCAACATTGACACTGGTGGATTCAATAACAATATTCATTGTTTGGCAAGGTGGGTCATCCTTCCCTTTTTTTTTCTTTTTCCTTTTTTTTTTTTTTTTCATTTTGGCATATTTTAAATGTCTAGTTGACTGAGTTTCCATGAAAAAGTTGAATGCTCCCTCATACACTGAAAGATTGCATGTTAGTGATTCAAATGCAGTGTTGGACTTAATAATCATATTCTTTGGCAGGTGCATTAGTGCTGTTATTGCTGGAAGCGAGCATGTTAGATTGGAACGTGAACATCAACAAAGGCAATTGCTCTCAAATGGCTGTGAGAGTTTGGATCCTGATATACGTGTCTCTGCTGATGCAAGCATAAAATCTGCAATGCAGCTCTTTGTTAAATTTGCAGCAGGAATTGTGCTAGATTCTTGGAATGAAACAAACAGGTAAAAATGATCTCTGATGCTCTTCTGATTGCTTCATGCTCTCCCTCCCTCGATTGAAAGATTTGAACTTAAGTTCTGTGACATGAATTACGCTTTCCCCTGCTAGATTAACTTCTTATTCGCTGTTGAAACAAAAGCTGCCATATCCAACATATTTGTTCCACCTTGGACCAATATTGCGTGTCAGCACTGTATGATGCCTGAAAACACATCTAAATACAGTGTATGTGCATCTAAGTCTTTGAAGGGTCCATAATACCTGCTTATTATGTAGACAAGGGAAAGCCTAATTGATGTGTTTATATCTTTCTTGTGTCTTGAACAACTGCTCAAGGATCTGTCTGCAAACCTTGAGAAGAACCTCTTGATAAAAAAATAAAAAAATAAAAAACTGTTGCAAAATATTGACGATTGTTCTCTTGCATGTGCAGGTCTCATCTTGTAGCCAAGCTAATTTTTCTAGATCAACTGTGTGACATTTCACCATACCTTCCACGAAGCTCTCTTGAACAGCATGTGCCGTATGCTATTCTCCGATCAATATATAACCAGTACTATTCAAATTCTCCTTCAATGCCTCTTGCGTTGTTAACTGCTTCGCCACGCCATTCACCTGCTGTAGCATTGGCACATGCGTCTCCTATAACAAGGCAGCCCCGTGGGGACTTAACTCCACAGTACAGTGCTAATGATTCAGGGTACTTTAAAGGGTCATCATCACACAGCCAGGAACGCCTTTATGATGGCGAGATTGGAAGCCTTCGAAGCATAGAACTGAAACACCAGACCGTTCGCCGGTCTGGGCCTCTAGGTTACAGTTCAACCCGCAAAGTTAAGCACACTGAAGGCTCAACCTCAGGTAGCACTGGTCCTAGTCCTCTACCAAGATTTGCGGTATCAAGGTCTGGACCAATATCCTACAAGTGAAAGGTAGGTCAGTACCCTATTCCAACAAGTTAAAGAGTAGTAAATTATCTGCTTATTGTCAATAATTAGGAATAATTAGCTCATTAATTCAGGGAGTTTAGCACGCGCAAATTTTGGCAATAAATATGTATATCTGTATGCATGCACTTCGCAACTTCTTTCTAGACTTCTAGTATTGTTCTTTGATAATATAATTTAATTTGTTAAAGTGCCAAACATCATTGAGGCAGACAGTTTTGCTTCCGTGATACGGCAGTCGGCGAAGGCCGTTGAAAATGTGATCGTGTGGGCCCAGGTAGTTAAAGGCTGCTGTCTCTCTGACGCAGCTGAGAAAAAGACAGGTGCGTTAGAATGTGGGAGGTAGGTTATTTGACCCCTGTTTTTTTTTTGTCGGTCCAACCGTCCAAAGGAATCTGTGTGGGCCCAGATTTCGAGTTCAATCAGTTGCAACTTGTGTCTGACATAATCATGGGTTTGCTTTTTGCGTACTGTATTACGAAATGAGGGTAGTGCACGTGTACAATCAAGTCGCACTCCTTTCCTTTGGGATGAATAAAAAATAAAAATGAGGTAAAAGATAAACCTACCCCAGGGCGCAAACTATGAACCCAATCTGAGTTTTTTGGTACTTGAGTTCGAGCTTGAGTCATCCTTACTGAGTTTGAGACTTTGAAGGAAGCTTGAGTTTGGAAGAATTGGGTTATGGTGAGTGTTTTGACTCATTTATAAATGTACTCTAACCGAAGAAAGCTTAAGTTTAATTGTGTAGATTAGGCATATATCTTGAATTTGAACCTCAACGTTACATGTAAGTCATTGACTTTGACTACAATTAACCTCATCATAGTTTTACTTTAGAGATAAGCAAACTTATGTAACAAAATGCTTATCAATTTTTTATTAATTATTATTATTATAGTAAGACAAATTGTGGAGGTTGGCCAAAGTGAAATTAGTGCTCTTAGGTTTTCTTCTTCATGATTTTTTTGAAGGTTTATGACTACTTATGCTAATAGATTAAGACTACTTTTCAAACAACTTCAAGCTTCCCTCTTTGTTCATGTTTATCATGTCAATTTTATGGATAAATTAGTCGCCTTTTATAGCCAATTTGTGGACTTGATTAACTCGAAAATTTTTATATAATTGGAAACACAGACATTCAATTGGAAACCCAAGATATTCTCTGAATCTATAGTTGCTTCATTATATGAAAACAGGACATAAAACCAGACTCTAGAATGCAAATACATAAATAGTCACACACAACATACCAATAGAGAACGAAAGCACCTAAAAATAGCATAAACGTACGGAAACACCCAATACAATTAGGCAACAACGGCCCATTGGATTTTCAGTAGTTTCCGCTCGAGGGAAACAGAATCTCCCAAAGGACCTGCTCTTTTACTGACATAAGCAGGTATTTAGCCAGGCGTCTGTCTCGTTTTTCCTTAACCGATTTGAACTCTTCTTTCTTCTGTTCAGCAGCAGCAACCATTTCATCCATCTCCGCCCTCAAGCTACTTGCCTCAGCCCCCATGACCGCCGCTTTTGCCGCCATCTTCTCATGAATCTTCCTCAATTTCTTGAAAATCCTTTTAGTCTGCAGATAGAAGGAAAACAGGACAGTATTCAAATTATAAGGAAGCCAATTACTTGATCAGAAAATGCATCCGATCTACTACAACCTGGAGGTTCCGGTGCTTTTTCCCGACCGACCTGGAACGGCTCATCTCTGTGCTCAGAGCTGTCAAACTCAGATTACTTTTTTTATGTTACCAACTCAATTTAATTAAATCAAAGAAAAGGAGATTAAAACTATAGATTGATGATTGATGATGAAGAAACCTCACCGATTTGTGTCGCGTTGGGATCTTCGGGGTTGCGGAGTGACGGTGGAGGATTCTTCATGCTCTGCTTCTCGCTGTCGTCTTCGTTCTTTCTGCATGAAGTAATGTAACGATATATATACACATTTTAGCAACGACTTGGGACACGCAATTTTACACTTTTATTTTTTGGGTCCTTGAGGATGAGTCGCGCGGAAACAGGCGTTAGTCTTACGATCTATCGTCTATAACGTTCGACTCGATCGCCATGTTTTCATTCTTTTCTTTTCATTTTGACTTCTTCGTATCACCAAAGTCATAGGTGGAGCCATTACACGCACCCGCAACTCAGATTCATTTTTCATTATGCAAATAATGCTTATAAGTTATAATATCATTTATTATTATAAATTTATAATTATAAGATATTATCATATAGTAATTAATTCTTTTTATTTAAACATTTATCATTTATATATACAAAAAAATTATTTTACATTTTGAATTATATTAAATTGTAAAATATGAATTTTTAGATAAATAATAAACCTTTTAATATTGAAATTCTCTCTCATTTAAAAGTTTATATTTTACAATTAAGTATAATTTAAATAGAAAAACAACAACTCTTATATACATCTATTAACCTATTACAATAATAAATTAATAATGGTATACATCATTAAAAGTATAAGATTCTGTCTTTGTCACTATAGGAGCCTAGCCTATTCTATCTATGCCTAAAATCTTAAAGATCTGACTAAAATAGATGGTATAATCTATGGCTAAAATCTTATGAAAAAGAAAAACAGACGATCTAACACTAAGTAGTTTAATAACTATATATCTGACTAAAACAAATGGTATAATCTATGACTAAAATCTTATAAAAAAGAAAAATAAGTGGTCTAGCACTAAGTGACTTAATAACTACACCCTTCATGGAAGTGTTTGGAGGTATAAAGGCTTGGTCCAACACCTAAGCACTATTCCTTAATCCCAAAAGTTTCCTTAAGTTCAAAAAAAAAAAAAAAAAACCAGTTTGGACAATTAATGGAACTTGTGACATGCTCAGATGCTCCGGGGTTGCAGAGTGTGGTGAGAAATGTTCACTAAATTGTGGTGTGGGCCCCCGTTGCTGAATACATTTAATTAGCATGAGTGACAAGCACTTATGATATGATCATTGTCCTTTGTCTGTCTGGTAGCACGTAACAAAATGTTGTATGATGGAGATGTCAACATATTTGGAAATAATCAAGTTTTGTGAATTAATTTTTTAACTTATGGATGTAAAAAAATTAAAATATCTTGATGTTAAAAATGTAAAAATATTTATTTAATCATATTTACAAAATGAGTAGAACATAATGATATAAAAAGTTGGTACCTCACTTTTAATAGACTAAATAGTAGTAAATCAAATTTTTGTGTCATGTAAAAGGGCTCTAACCTGTTCGTTTTGATCTCCTTTTTCAGATAGTTTTAGGGTATGTTTGGATCCTATATTTTTATTTCCCTATCTCTCCTAGATAGATTAAAGGTTCATTTAGGATTGTATTGTAGCTATGTTTTTTTAAATATTTTACTTTTACAAAAGTTATATTATTATTTGATAATTAGTTTGAAAATAATATTATACATCAATATAAAATTAAATTATATAAAATATTAATTAAAATTAATTTAATTATAATAAATTAACACTTTTAATAAAATACTGTACAATCACAAACCACAACTCTAAATGCAATTTAAAATGAATAAATAAATTAAAATAATTCTTTATTTTTCTCAATTACAAACAATACCCTTAGCCTTAGTTGAAAAGCTTTAAGGCCGGGTACAAAGGTAAAAGCTACAAGGCGGGCCTTGTTGGGCTTTTAACACCGTTCAATTGTTCAGTCCTTGCGGAGCATTTTTAGCTGGGCTGAGATTAACTCACATGGATAGGGCCGGTTTAGGCTTGTGGTTATAACCGTAAATTTTTTTTTTTAATTTGAACATTGAGAATTTTGAGGAAAGAAATTTTTTTTCAAAATAATTGTTGAGAGTTAAATTTATAATCAATTAAATTTGAGCATTTAAGGATTGGGTATAAACCGCTGGGTTCGAAGGCTTGATTCGTAAATTGGTTTTGTTAATGGCATCAAAATTTTTATTTAAAATATATTGGTTCTATTTAATTTAAATTAATATTTATTAATTAATAAATAAAATTAATTAATAAACTAATATTTTTAATTACAAATATCTTAAAATTTTGATGTGCTTAACAAAAACAAGTGGAGGACAGAACCACAACTGCGGTTTGGTTATCTTGAAGACTTTGTGCTTCAAGTCAAGTTTTGCTGACAGTCATTGTAGTTAAATGAGAGAGAAATGGAAGCACAAATTTATCTGGCAGCATTGACCTGACAACTCATTCTCATGTTCTTCATCTCATCTCAGATTGTCAATGCGCAAAAGAAAGGGCAACTGCTCCCTCCACATAAAATGGTGTCCTCATTGGCTCTGAGACTTTCAAGTGCTCTATATCGCTCAAGAATTGGGGTTCTTGCTTCAATATCAGGAGAAAAAAAGGGTGGGTATGGCGTCGCTTCCAATTGCGTGTGTTAAGTTGTTATTTGCTCTTATAAAAGCTGATAAGAGGGTAGAGTTTTACACAAGATCTTTGGAAAAAGAATGGATTTAAACTAGATATCTGCACTCATCTTTCCTAAGTTGTTTTAAATATTCGTGCTTACCAAGTGTTTGATAAAATTACCATGTGTTATGCTATTTCCAGTTTATGTGGCTACTTCAAATGCTCGCTCTTTTTTTTCTTATTTTTTATTTTTTATTTTTTATTTTTTTTCAGTTAAGAATTTGTTTCAGGTGGTTATGTTTCATTTTATTGTAAGGAACTGTATTTAAGACTAATAAGTGTTCAGTAAGTTTGAGTTCTGGTGAGAATAAGCCTGTTTGAAGAAGATTTGGTGATTTGGAGACCATAACTGGTTTTTGCGTTGAAGCAGGGTAGGCATTGGCTTTGAAGATGCATTTGGCAAATTCTTTGAAGGGGCTGTAATACTTTGCTTATGATGTAGACAATGGAAAGCCAAATTGATGTTTTGGTACGTTCTTCGCATCTCGAACAACTGCTCAAGGATTTTGTCTTGAAAGAAAGTTTGATAAGACCCGCTTGAATACAAAGATGATTGTCCTTCGGAATTTGCAGACCTCATCTGGTAGCCAAGGTATTTTTTCTGGATCAACTGTGTGACATTTCACCATACCTCGCCCGAAGCTCTCCTGAACAGCATGTTCCTTGTGTTATTCTCCCATCAATATATAGCCAGTACCATACAGACCCTTCTTCAATGGCTCTAACACCTTTAACTGCTTCTCCACACCATTCACTTGCTGTAGCATTGGCGAATGCGTCTCCTATAACAACGCAGCCTTCTGGGGACTAACTCCACATTACAACAGTACTAAACTACTAGTGATTCTGGGCACTTAAAGGGTAATCATCACAATGCCAGGAGCACCTTTATGATTGCAAGACTGTAAATGTTCAAACTTCAAAGCATAGAACTGAAACACCGGACTGCTCACTGGTCTGGGCATTTAGGTTAAAGTAAAGCACACTGTAAGGCTCAACCTCAGGGAGGAGTGGTCCTAGTCTGCTACCAAGATTTGCAGTATCAATGTCTGGACCAATATCTTACAAGCAGAAGGCTGGTCAGTACCCTGTTCCAATAAGTTAGGAGTAGTAAATTATCTGCTTATTGTCAATAATTGGGAATCATTAGCTTATAAATTCACAGAGTTGAGTGCACACACTGAAGGCTCAACCTCAGACTGTTCCCTGTCCGGTCCACTATCAACATTTGCAGTATCAAGGTCCATGCAATATCCTACAAGTAGAAGGCAGGTCAGTACTCTCTACCAATAAGTGCGAGAAGCAAGTTATATGCTTATATTCAATGATTAGGAATCATTAGCCCATATATTGACAGAGTTGAGTGCACAAAGATTTTGGCAATATGTATATCTGTATGCACTTCACAGCTTCATTCTAGAGCTGTTCTTGATCATATAATTTAATTTGTTAAGTAACATGCCAAGTACCTGAGCTGTATGGTAGAGTTTATATTTTCCAAATAAATGAATTTGTTTTTGCTCCCAATTAAATGTAGTGATTAGGTTTAAGAGAGCTAGAAAGATATACGAGATACATTGACTGTGCATCATGCAATAGAAACAGAGTAGGGCTTGCTCCAGAACCTATGGATTTGTACTTTTGGACCAAAGAAAACCTAGAAATTAAAATTTCTTATCAACACAGAAAAACAGAAAATTTTGAATAGATACAGGAGAAATACTGTAGATAGATAAACCAGAGACTAGGCTCTTCTTTCTTCTTTTGGCCAAACAAAACCTAGAGATTGAAACATTATTAGCATAAACAGAAGGGACACGGATTTATGCAGACTTAAGAACAAATAGCATAAATAGGTAAAGCAGAAACCAAGTAGTTTTTTCTCTGTTTTTTTTTCTTGTTAGCCTAACAGACCCCAGAGATTGAGTTCTATTATTGAAACATACAGAAGCGGCAAATATTTACATGGATTTAGGGAATGAAATAGTATTCGAACATAAAGCAGGGTCTGGATGTTTAACTTCCAATTATTTCTGTCCTATGCATGCCCTAGGATAGTAGGATCTCCATGAGCCTTTCTTCTGCTTCTGAGATGTGAAGCATGTCAGCAAACAGCTGGTTATGTAGCATCCTCAAAAGCTCCACGTCAGCTTCTTTCTCCTCCATCGCTTCTACCATTTCTGCTGCTTCCTCTCTCATGTGGCTGGTTTCTGCTCTTGCCTCTGCAGCTTCTGCTTCCATCCTCAGCAGAGCCATCTTCTTTTTCTTAAGCTGTTTGTTGAACTGCATTAAGCACAAAATCAAAACAAAGATTAGTTTATCTAAAAGAGTTTAGGATCAAGTAGAGGATTTTGCTTAAGAAAATGATGGTACCTTGACGTCCAGCTTTTGTCGCTTTTTGGCATGAGCCTGCTTTGTTCCTCGCTCCCCTGTGGCATGATGTAGTGTTGAGTACATAAGCTTTTCCATGCTTGCTTTCTCTTTTCCATTTGATCTGTAACCGGTTAGGAATCAGGAAATGAGAAAGTTGGGTTCTTAGAGAGGTGATTTAGGTTCAAATAGAATTTCAGTAAGTACTGATCGGACCAACCTTTTGCCTTTTAAATGCTTTTGTCCCTGAGAAATCATATCCACCCTCGCCCTGATCATCTCCATTCCCACCTTGATCTCCTCCATCTCTGCCTTCAGCTTCCTAAGGCTCAGCTGTTTTCTTTTCCATGCTGTTCTCTGAAATAATTTTATGAAACCGCAACCATGAGAAGGTAGAAGAAAAATGAACCATTCTGATGGGGGATTTGTAGTAAAGTACCTGGTGCTTGTTTGTTTTGGTTGTTCCTGAATTTTGTTTAGCCGCTGTCTTGCTGGGAGCCATAACGGTTTTTGTCTTGGAATGGTATTTTTTTCTTAAAATGAATTGAAATGTCGCTTCTTTATTGTTTGTGCTTGAATTTGGAGAGGACCACTTATATGGTGTTTAGAATGGAAGACGCGAAATTTCTAGGAAACATCATGGGCGCAGTTCTACTTAGGTGATACGGCAGTCGGCCGTTTTGATTAAGTGTCAAAGTTAGGGCCCAATCATGTCTCTGACTCAGCGCAGCCACAGCCTAGAAAGAAATAGATAAATAGACCTATTTGGTTAGAGGCACTGTAAAATATATATATATATATATATATATTGTATGAAAAATTAATAAGTATTATAATAAAATTTTATTGAAATTTTATTATGTTATTAATTTTTTTTTATTTAGTAAAAAATTGACATAAAAAAGTTTGTAGAAAAGTTAACAAATAGATTTTACATAAAAAAGGTAAAGACTTTTATCTTCATAAAGTTAGGAAAGAAAAGTATATTGAGTATATTGAGTAAAATTTGTGTTACAAAAATAAAAGTTAAATAAAAATGTTATTTTTGCTCTTTTTTTATAGTATGAAAATGTAAAAAAATTGCTCCAAACTAAAAAT